AACGTCTCATCATAATATAAGGAAAGCACAATGATTCTTATATTCAGGTGATTATACACTAATGAAAACATACCTATGAATATTATATTCCATTTCTGACAATAGATCCTCCCAAATGTTATACACTGGACCTTAACAGTCCAAAGACATGCTGTTTAGATGAAATGGAAACTCTAAAGTGCCTGTGCGTATGCCATCACCAATTGAAGGATTGCCAGTAGCCAAAAGGAAAACCCAATCCCTTGTTTTTTATTTTGGTTAGTGAATAGCTCAGATTGAGAATTTTGTGCCTATTCCAGTAAATCCTTTAAGGTAAGTGTACATGAAGGTTAATGCCCACCTCTCGATGTGCCCTTGAATGCACATGTTTCTTGAAATCAGATATCCTGTTAAATTTGGTGAGGCAGACCTAAAACAAGGGGGGGAAAAAACAAGAAGAAAGGTGCATCAACAACATAGAACTATAATGGAAAGGACATCTGTTTACATGAGACAAATCTGGTTGCAGGCCTCATTTGAAATGGCTCAAGGTTTGTTTTTTTTGTACTGTACAACAGAAGAACAGAAAACCTAAGCTTCCTTTATCTTAATTATGTGGATGGCACGAACAGTGCATCAGCTGATTTAGGAAAGGCAGGAGGCACGTCACAGCTGGGGGAGAGAGAAAGATGTGTTGCAACTGAGTTTTTGAGGAAGGTCTACCCTGAGGCCCCACAAAAACTGAAAACATCCTTTGCATACTGCGACAAAGAACACAGCCGTGTTGCAATAATCCCCTGTCTGGATATTAGGAGTCACATCGCACCATCATAAAATAGAATTCATCAGCTTGAGGAGTCAGTGAACAACTGCACAAAGATCATCCAGCACTGGAGATAATTCTTGAACAGAGTGTAGATGCTGCCAGCATCAGTTATATCAGAACAAGAGCAAAGAAAAGCACAGGCTTTTATCGATGGAAAAGATATTTTTCCTCTTCTTCCAATTGGCTTTGGTAAGAGTTTGACTACGTTATATGGTTTTGTTGGTCTGATTAGTTGAAGTTCACCTGTGAAAGACCGATAGATGGTTCATCCAATCACCTACTCTTTTCCAAACAGTTTTGCAACATCGACTTTCCAGATGGTTTGGAGGAGATGAGTCTGTACCAAATTTCCAGTCAACCAAGCCATGCCTTTAACTATACCACTGGCATGGCTAAAAACCTGAAGTAGCTGTTGCATTCTCAGTTACTCAGTTCTCAAAACTTCCCTTTCTTTCTTTGTTAATTTTCAAACCAATTAATTTCTCCCTTTTCTGGAGCCATGGCTGAACTAATCACATGACAAAAGAGCTCATTTATCTCTATGTCGAACACATAAAACCTCCATTAATTAACCACTATAGTTATTACACGATATTTACTTTTCCGTATAGTGTACAGAATTGCATAACACAATACGTGTGTTTCGCAACTCTGTAACCCAGCACAGAGGAGGCTACTTGTGTCTTGGTCAGCAGTGGTCTCCCATGCAAATGGTTCTCTCTCTGATACAGATGCTGGTCCTGTGCGTTTGTTCCACTATACTACTACATTCACTGCACCACAGCGCTGCACCACCTCCCCACGACACTCAGCACCCAGCACCCAGCACCCAGGAACTGGACAGGCTCAGCAATAGTGGTTTCACTTCAAGCTCAGCCCCCTACAGACAAGATGAAGAGAAACACTGATGCAAAGGGAACTAAATAGCCTCCATTGAACAATTTTAGAACACAAACAAACACTCAAATCAAATCTGTTCACATGGTCAATGTACATAAAAAAAAAAAAAAAAGAGCCATCACAGAGGCCAGGGGTGGAGCTGACAGCTTGGGGTTAGAAACTGTTCTTGAGCCTGGTTGTCTTAGTGTGGAAGTCAAACAGTCTGCAAGTACGGTGGGTTGGCTGTTTCATGGTGTTCCTGGAAACTCCTCTGACATCTTTCAGTGCAGCTGTCTGTCATGGAGTAAGCTGCTACCGATAAGGCTCTTGGCAACTTTAACTTCTTGTTTTAGAGCCTTCCTGTTGGTATATTATGGTACATGTCCTATTTGAGGAAAGGTTATGTGAGGACCGGGTTGTTGTTTATTCATGCAAGGTGGGTTCATGTTCCAAGAAGTGACAACAGGAGATCCAAGGTATTGATTGCATAACCGAAATAAACTGCATGTACATAACAGATATGCAGATGGAGTCTTCAACTTTTTGCTCAATGGGTGAAAATCAGTCTCGGGTTTAGCTCCTCCTTTTTGGCTGGCCGGGTAGGAAGCACTGGCAGTCTTGACTTTTGCACTCTCCAAACAGTTCGTCATTAGGACGAGCCTGTTAGAAGCCGTATTATGTCTTCTGTAGCTTTCAAAAATAAAAAAAATAAAAACAACAAAAAAACTTGCAGGCCAGGAAATGGCAGAAAAACGCAGCAGAGCGTCTGAGGGTCTCGGGGGTCTCACTGCAGCACTGAAAGGCTTGCGTATAGAGAGGTCATATTTAACGGGCTTATCTCGGATGGCTGTCCGGGG